AAATCAAGGGAAAGTTATACATGGAAGGAAACTTTTTTGTTGGTTACCAGGGGTGAGAGGGGAGGGAAGGGAACACTGCTAGATAGGTAGAGACAAGTATTGATCTGGGTGAAGGGAAGGGCAATGCCCCAAATGTGAGTGATCGACACAGTGGCACTGAGGAAGAGGAAGACATAGAGAGGTACATGGGAGATACAGATAACAAAGATGAACCATTTTGCACATATGGTACGGCATTCACAGTGATAGCAAACATTGATATACGGGTGGATAAATGTGTGGACAGGCTGAATGATCAGGTATGTCTAGGCAGGGGGGGAGTGTGCCCATGGCCATGTATAGGGTTAGCAGATGATGTTTCTACAAGTGTATTTGTATGTTCTGTAAGAATATCCAGGTATATATCAGAGCTGACAAGGGACAAGGTTGTAGTGACTTCTCAGTCACAGCCAGCTACCAGGAGGGAGCAAGTAGTGGGACCTGTTGGCACAGGACCATGATCACAGGGGGACATCAAGCTCAATTGGCATAACATACTACATGAAAATAATGTTCCACATCCTGCTTTGGTGAGTAACGGCTGGGATCTTAAAAACATGAAAGAGGTCATCTAGATGCAATGATGGGTCTTTCCTCATCCAGAGCAAAGAAGAATGAAGAAAACCAAAGACACATGGAAACAATTAGTCCAAGGGACTATTAGACCATGAGATCCTCAGCTTATGTGACCACAAGACCAGAACTAGATGGTGCCCAGCTACCACTGTCAACCACTCAGAGGGGAATATGTGAATAAGATCCTGGATAGAGTAGGAAAACAATGTAGAACAAAACTCAATATTTAAAAAGAAAAGACCAGGCTTTCTGATCTGATAGAGCCTTGTGAACCCTCTGAGACTGTGGTCCCTAGCTGCCCTTCAGGTCTGGAATTGAACTCACTCCTGTGGCTTCCAGCCAAACAAAAGACCAGCCTATGGGCTGTGTCATTTACATCAGGTGGATATACTCCTTGGAGAGATCAATCATGGGAGAAGAGAAGAGCAGTGTATGCACAGGGAGACCATTTGGGGGCCAGGAGTGCATGAAAGGGAAGGACACAGGGAAGAGGTAACTATGGGGAGAAAGTGGGAAAAGAGCTGTTACATTGTGGGAGATTGGAGTCAATGTCATGAGACAAAATGTGTATGAACTGCTCTACAGAAAATGAATTTGCTCTGCAAACTTTCACCCAAATCTTAATAAAATTTAAATAAATAAATAAAATAAAAAGAAGAGAAATCTTGAATCAAAAATCTAAATTTTCACCTTAAAAAAACAACTAGAAAAAGATGAGCAAACTAAATTCAAAGCAAGCAGAAAGATGTAACTAATAAAGAATAAAGCAGAAATATTTGAAGTAGAGAACAGAAAAACAAGAGAGAGAAATTAATGAAATCAAAAGTTGGTTCTTTGAAAATTTATTTTATTAAATTGGCAAACTTTTAACTAGACTGACTGTATAAAAAGAGAGAAGACTCAAAATAATAAAATCAGAAATGAAAGAGGAAATACTATTAATGATCTTTCAGAAATAAAAGTCTATAGAGGAATACTTCAAATAATTGTATGCCAAGAATTAGATAACCTGGATCAAATGGACAAATTGCTAGAAAGAACAATTGAACAAAACTGACTCAAGCAGACATAGAAAACCTAAATAGACCTAAAACAAGTAAAGAAATTAAATTGTAATTTAAATAATAAACTTCCCCAAAAGAAAAGTACAGGCCCAGATGGCATCACCAGTGAATTTACCCACTCATTTAGAAAACAATCAACACCAATCCTTCACAAACTCTCCCAAAAGAAGTAATAGCACTTCTCAACTCACTTTCTGAACTCAGTATTATCACAATGCCAAAACCAGACAAAAACATTACAAAAAAACTACAGATCAGTACTTGTTATGAAATAGATGTAAAAAATCTTAATGAAATATTAGCAAATAGAATTCATCAATGTATAAAAACAATTATACAGCATGACCAAGTGGGATTTATTCCAGAGATGCAAGGCTGTTTCAATGTTCAAAAGTCAATCAACATAATATACCATATTAGTAGAATAAGGGACAAAAACCACATAATCATCTCAATAGACGCAAAAAAAGCATTTGACAAATACAACAATATTTTAAGATAAAATCACTCAGCAAACTAGGAATAGAAGGAATTTTCCTCAACCTGATAAATGGCACCTGAGAAAATTCCACAGCTAACATTATAGTTAATAATGAAACACTAAAAGCTTTTTATCTAAGAGCAGGAAAAAGATAGGGCAATTGGGCAAGAAAATGAAATGAAAAGCATCCTCATTGGTGGAAAGGAAGAAGTAAAATTATTTCTACTCACAGATAACATGATCTTGAATATAGGAAATCCTAAGGAATCCATTAAAAAACTACTAGAACAAATACTGGTAGCATAGTGCCTAAGGCACTTGACTGCTAACCAGAAGGCTGGTGGTTCAAACCCACCAGCCACTCCTCGGAAGGAAGGTTGGGCATTCCTACTTCCGTAGTGATACTGCCTCGGAAACTCAAGGAGGGGTCGCTATGAGTCGGGGCCGACTCGATGGCAAATAACAACAACAACAACAAGAACAAATAAAGTTCAAAAAGTTGCAGGATTCAAGGTTGATATAAAAATCAATTTCTATTCACAAGCAATGAAAAATAAGAAAATGAAGTTAAGAAAATAATTCCATCACAATAGTACCAAAAAGAATAAAATACTTAGAAATAAATTTAACAAAAGAAGAGCAAGATTTATACTCTGAAAACTACAAAACACTTTTAGTGAAATTAAAGAAGGTCTAAACACATGGAAAGGCATCCCATGATTGAAAGACATTATTGTTAAGGTGGCAACATTCCCAAAATTGATCTGCAGATTCAATGCAGTCTCCTTCAAACTTCTAGCTACTTTATCTCCCCACATATTTACAAGCAGATCCTAAAATTTAAATGGAAATTCTAGAGGCCCAGAATCATCAAAACAATCTTGAAAAATAAAGCAAAGTTGGAAGACTCAAAATTCCTGATCTGAAAACTTGCTGCAGAGCTACAGTAGTTAACACAGTGTAGAACTGGCATGAGATAGATGAAGGAATGAAATTAAAAGTCCAGAAATAAATCCTTACATTTAGAGTTAATTGATGGTTAATAAGGGTGCCAAAACAATTCAATTGGGAAAGAATATTCTCTTCAGCAAACGGTGCTGGGATAACTGAATATTCCTATGGAAAGAATGAAAATGGACCCCGCTTCACACCATGTACAAAAATTAACTCAATCTAGATCAAAAACATAAAAGAGCTAAAACTATAAAACTCTTAAAGGAAAATATAGGAGTAAATCTTAATCACCTTAGACTGCACAATCGTTTCTCAGATAAGATACCAAAGTCATAGTGATGAAAGAAAGAAAAAAAAAGGATGAGTTCAATGTCATCAAAATAAAAAACTTTTGTGTTTCAAAGGACACTATCAAAATAGTGAAGAGATAAGTGTTAGTGTGTGCGTGCAGAGAAACTGGAATCTCATACATTGCTAATAGGAATATAAAATGGAGTATTGCTTTGGAAAACAGTTTGATATTTCTCAAAAAGTTAAACATAATTGACGATATGACCCAGCAATTCCACCCCTAGGTATGTAAGTAACAGAACTAATGATTTGCGTGGCATGGCAAATTCAAGATTTACTTTTTGGAACTTCATGATTTTTTTTTTTTTTTTTAATATTTTCAATCCACAGTTGGTTGAATCCTCAGATGTGAAACCTGTGAATGTGGAGGGCTAACTGTACTTGGGCCAACTAAACTACACATTGATTCCCAAACATGCCAATATTACCAAGTTGTTCCCTTTATCAGGAATGCCTTTCTTTCTGTTGACTTCCCTTCTGCCTTTGAAATTCTGCTTAGCTCTCAAGACCCACACAAAGCCGTCTCTGACACAAAGCTTTCTGTGATTCCTCCAACCAGATCAAATCTATTTTGTTGGCTTGTTTCCTATAGCTGTCATCTGAAGTATAATGTGTCTAGCACACTTGTGACAATTAGTTTTAATGATATTTACAAGTAATACTTTCTGCTGATAAAATATTATTTTAATAAATTGAAACAGAGCCAATTTATCCATATGATCAAGTTCTTCTTACATATATTTCTATACATTTTCTGCAGGAGGAAGCAAAGAGTAGAAATGGAGCAACCGACTAAGAACTCTATTCTTTTATTTATGCCAGAAAGAGCTATAATTTGAGTACTTCATTTCACAACCAAAATTATATAAAGTTTCATCATAATGTTTAAGAGGGTAATCCACATGAACAGCATTTTTCCTGTGTATTTTATTTACAGATAAAATATTCAGACCTGTAATTCTATGGCACACTGTATCTCTCTATCTCTCCTAAGAAACCTATCACAGCATTTCTGACTTAGTGATCTTGTTTTATCCATCAATTTATGTAAATGTAATCTCATTTACACTATAAAGACTACCTTATCCATCTTTATATCTCTTAATAACCAGTACTATGTTATAGTGCCTAAGGCACTTGACTGCTAACCAGAAGGCTGGCGGTTCAAACCCACCAGCCACTCCTCGGAAGGAAGATGGGGCAATCTACTTCCGTAGTGATACTGCCTCAGAAACCCAAGGAGAGGTCGCTATGAGTCGGATCCGACTTGACGGCACATAACAACAACAACAACAATATGTATACATATGGTAAGGTCTCAACAAATAATTGCTGAACAAATGAATGAATGAAGGGACTTTCGGAAAAATCCTCTGTTCAAATTTTTAATTATTAAAAAAGAATAAATAAACCTTATGCCCACATTTAAAATCAGAATGTACCCAAAGCTTCAAGTGAGACTGGAAACAAGTTGATAAGAAGGACCCCCAATGACAACAACAAAGAAGGTACTTATCAATATTAATGATATTTACCCAGTTCATCTTGGCAGAAGCTTCCTGGAGGATTGATATATTTCATGGTGCTCACATCTAATTTCCAGTTGTGTTTTGTGCATCTAACAGACCTGGATGAAAAATCGTACTTGAGTTTATTAAATGGTGAAAATAAAAATTAATCTTGATTGGGCTTATATATATTAGTTTTGTGCTGAAGTTAAATTAATTAAATGAATTTAAAAATGCATGAAAAGAAAACTTTCATTAGCTAATACCCAAACATCCAAGAAAATATGATCATCAATAGAAGGTGATTTTAAAAATGAAAATGAACTCCATGTCACAAAATGACATTTTGGAGATCAATAAGATAAAGTAGTCTTTAAGAATGGCTCTCTTAAAAAGCTAAGCTAGCTGAAATCCAATTGGGGCGAATACAAGTAAAGAATGTTATAGAGAATGTAAACTTGTCTCTGATTAACAATCACTCTGTAACCATTGGCCACTTACAGTTTTAGACTGAAGTTATCATTTTTCAAAGAGAAAAGATCCTCTTATAGTTTTAGATTTCAGAGCAGGGTTACCAGATAAAATAAGATGCCCAGTTAAATATGAATTTCAGATAAACAACCAATAATTTTCAATATGTGTTACCTATACAATATTGTGGCATACTTAAAATGAAAACATATTGTTATTTATCTACAATTCAAAGTTAACCAAGTGCCCTGTATTTTATATGCTAAATCTGTCAACCCTATTTTAGAATAAGAATCAGATTTTAACGAAACAGAGTGCTTAGTATTTTTTCTATTTCTTACCAGGACTTTGAGAGGAGTGGAGTATGTGACAGTGAGGGGGGTAGTGTTTCCAGTGACTTTTTTTAAGAGTTAAAAACAAGTTTTTGAGAAGTTTGGTTTTGATAGAGTTTCCGGTGAACTTTTTTAAGAGTTAAAAACAGGTTTTTGAAAAGTTTGGTTTTAGTAGAGTTTCCAGTGAATTTTTTTATAAGAGTTAAAAACAAGTTTTTTTAAAAGTTATATGGAGAAATATGTCTCCAACCAGAACCAGCAGATTTTTCAAACTAAAACATCTGCTTTAACATAAAAGTGAATCATGGTAATTTTCCCAAGCTTCATTATACACAGAATTTTTTCAAAAGTTATTTTCTAGTTATAAGGCAAAATGCTCACCATATGACAGGCCTTGTATTAAGTGTTTTATGTGTTTGATACAATTTCATGCCCTCAGCAACCCTACTAAGTAGACAATATTATTATCCTCATTTTACAGAGAAGATTGGGACCCGGAAAGTTTAAGAAACTTGTCCAAGTTTTACTGAGTTGTTAAGTGGTAGAGCCGGGCTTCTATACCAGTCTAAGACAAGAGATCAAAGTTATATACCTCCCTTAAATGGCTGGCTGGGTGGGCACTGTGTATAACAATGTATGAAAGAGAATCAGACTGGAGAGCAAAGAAGGAAAAAAAAAAACCCAGAGTTCAAATGGCAATACTTAGAAGAAAAAAACCTCAATGTCCTTGTGTGGTGACAGAAGTTCCCTAGTAACGGTACTGTCTGAAGCTTCCCTGATATGACTCCACTGAGAAGATGAAAGGACATCAAAACAGAGCTGTCAGCAAATTACCTAGCTAAAGTATATCCCATTTGAGACATATTTATAACACACACACACACACACACACGCATTGTTGTTATTTGCCCTCGAGTCAGACCCGACTCATAGCGACCTCTCCTTGAGTTTCCAAGGCTGTATCACTACGGAAGTAAATTGCTCAACCTTCCTTCCAAGGAGTGGCTGGTGGGTTTGAACTGCCAGCCTTCTGGTTAGCAGTCAAGTGCCTTGGGCACTACGTTACCAGAGCTCTCTCTATCACACAACACACACACACACACACATACACATACATAAAATCTGAAATTCAATTTTACTGGGCACCCTGTTTTTTTGTTTGTTTGTTTTTTGCTAAATCTGACAGCCCTATTTTAGGAGCCAAGCAAGCTACAGGTGCAGTAATGGTCAACATTTAAAAATCTAATAATATGTAGGACTGGGCCCTGAAACTATGAATGAAGTGAAGCAAATCTGGGTGCAGGTGTGAGGACATTCTAGACTTGGGTGACTGACTTCTATACTATTATAGAAGGGAACTCTTTGACAACTACCCAGGAACTTCTGAGTATAGCAGCACTAAACCACCTGTAAGTGAACTGAGAAACAAAACTGACACCACAGTGGAAAAAAAAAACACAACACCCACATGACTAAAATTACATAGGTCTAGGTAGACTGAAGTCAGTTAGAATGATTCAACCTACTACTCAACGTGTTGCTGGTGTTGAGAATCAGACCCACCAACAAAGCATTCACTCAAGAATTCTCCCTGATTTGACAGGCAGTGCTGCTATCTCCTGGGCAGTCATTAAAAATAAAACAATGCAATCATGTTCCGGTATTTCTCCTTTACTTACCAGCACCAGTAGAGCTTATCTACATGCAAGTGTTATGTACTGACAAAGAGGGGGAGGGGGCATACAGTACTAGCTCTTCCAGAAAATGACAGGAAGAGTTACTCTTCAGGGCAGGGACAGTTAGGGCTCTGCCACTATTGTTTATTTTTTAAATTACAACTAGTATGTCAAAAAAATACTAAATGCTTCCTAGGAAGGTTTGGTAAAGTGCTCTCCCACCACCCCACTCCTATACACACACACACACACACACTTCTGGGTAAGAGGAAAAGGAAACCTAGGAGCCTTGAGTCTAAACACAAAACTAGGTAAATGCCTGCCCTCCCCATTCACTTGTGCATATATTATCTCACACATACCCTAGAAGCTTTACTATTTAGCAAGCTAAGAGTAAATTTTAAATAAGAATTCTTATAAGAGAGGAAAATTAAGTAAACATTAGAAAATTTTGAGATCACAGAGATGCCCTAAATGAGCAAGAGTAAAGTTATGAAATTCATTAGAAGAAGAATATTTATTGATCAGCTTAAATTTTCTAAATGAACACATTTCCCGCCAAGCCTAGTTGCAAAACATCACCAGTGAGAAAGCAAAGGACACTTGGTACCTTCCATCTAAGTCTTCAATGTCTTTTATGAACAGGCCTCCTTGATGTTTGCACAGATTCTTGCATGCCTTCAGGTGACCTTTAATCTTATATAAGATGTAACTTTTGCCAGCGGTCTTATTTTGCAAAAAATTGATTCCTTCCTTGAGATTGTCAACTTCAGCAGGTGACAGGCACAACAGGATCTCAGTTGTTTGTTCGATGCTACTGAAAGGCAAACATTTTGAGGGGAAACATGAGTAATACTAGGTTCACAAAATAATCATTTGCAACTGACAGTTCAAATACTTTTCGTTAAAGTGCTTCTTAAGTAGTGTCCCTCCAGTTATTAAGTGCCAAGACTGGAGCAAACAGTTTGTGCTCTACCGCTAACTTAAATGGGGGTGGTTTGAACCCACCCAGCCTAGCCATATGTATCCATAAAGATTACATCCAATAAAACCCAAATGAAACAGTTCTACTCTGCAACACATGGGATTGCCATGAGTCAAAAACAATTTGATGGAAACAGGAGTGCTTTTTTGCTTTTCTGGTTCCATCCCCCCTCCCCCAATTACCAGGCTTGGTGGCTACCTGATGGTACACTTTCCCACCCTCCTCATTTAAATTTGTGTCCTACTTATTGAATGTCCTTCTTCAATTTCTTTGAATATTACTGCCCTTCTTACTTGCCTGCCCATACTCTGCCAGCTCCTCTCCCTGTGGGCAATTCAAAAGAAGAGCAACTGCTTTTTGAGCTTCTTTTTCTCATGTCTGCTTTGCCTAGTAAGAGAGAATGTGCCCTAATTGACTCATTTCCGCTCACAATGCTTCCTCCCTCTACCACATCTTTTTTTTTTTTTAATTTTGTTCTGATATGGGTGAAAGTTTACAGAGCAAACTCATTTTCTATACACCAGTTCATACACAATTTGTCTCATGACGTTGACTACAATTCCCCACAAGTAATAGCTCTCTTCCCATTTCTTCTTTCCTGTGTCCTTCCCACCCATGCATTCCTGCCCTTCCCGAGCTATCTCCCTGTTCAAATACTGCCCTTCTGTTCTCAATTGATCACTCCAAGGAGTGTATCTCCCCAATGTAAATGGTCACCCTATATGTCTGTCTCTTGTTTGGTTGGAAGCCACAAGAGTAAGTTCAGCTCCAGACTTGAAGGGTGACTAGGAGCCATAGTCTCAGGGGTCTCACCAGGCTCTATCAGGCCAGCAAACCTAGTCTCTTTTTATTTTTTTATGATTTTGAGTTGTGTTCCACATTGTTCTCCCACTTTATCCAGGATCTGCTACACTGATCCCCCTGCGAGTGGTTGACAGTGGTAGCCGGGCACCATATACTTCTTCTAGTCTCATGATCATATACACTGAGAATAGTGTAATCTACCAGTTCCTTGGACTAATCATGTCCATGTGTCTTTGGTTTTCTTCACTCTTCTTTGCTCTGGACAAGTAGAGACCAATCGTTGCATCTGGATAGCCACTTACAAGCTTTTAAGACCCCAGCCACTACTCACCAAAGTAGGATGTAGAACAATGTTTTTGTGTAGTATGTTATACCATATGACAAGAACAGATAAGTGGGAGAGAGACCACAGGCAGGAAGCAGCAGCCAGGGCCAACGGCTAGAACAGATAAGAGGGAGAGCCCCCAGGCAGGAAGCTAAGGGAGAAGAACTTGTCTGTCATTTTGTCGTACTATGGTGGCCTGTTTGTTGCTGTAAAACTGGAGGCTGTGCCATCAGCATTTCAAATGCCAGCAGGGTTGCCCATGGTGGATGGGTTTCAACAGAACTTCAGACTGAGACAGACTCGGAAGGAAAGGGCCATCCGCTTCTCAAAGAATTGGCCAGTAAAAAACCTTGTGAATAGCAGTCAGAAACTGTTTGATATATTACTGGAGAACTTTATGAATGGCCTTGAAACATTGACACATTGCCAGAAGATGAGCCCCTCAGGTCGGAAGGCACTCAAGATATGACTGGGAAAGAGCTACCTTACCAGAGTAGAGTCGACCTTAATGATATGGAAAAAGTAGAGCTTTCAGGACCTCCAGCTGCTGATGTGGCATGACTCAAAATGAAAAGAAAGAATTGAAAACATCCATTAATAATCAGAACATGGAATGTACGAAGTATGAATCTAGGAAAATTGGAAGTTGTCAAAAATGAAACAGAATGCATAAAGATCCAATATCCTACGCATTAGTGAGCTGAAATGGATGGTTTTGGCCATTTTGAATCAGACAACCATATGATCTACAGCACTGGGAATGACAAATTGAAGAGGAATGGCATAGTATTCATGATCACAAAGAGTGTTTCAAGATCTGTCCTGAAGTACAATGCTGTCAGTGATAGGATAATATCCATATACCTACAAGGAAGGCTAGTTAACACTACTATCATTCAAATTTACACACCAATCACCAAAGCCAAAGATGATAAAATTGAAGATTTTACCAACTTCTGCAGTCTGAAATTGACTGAACATGCAATCAAGATGTGCTGATTATCACTGGTAATTAGAATGCAAAAGTTGGAAACAAAAAAGGATCACTGGTAGTTGGAAAATTTGGCCTTAGTGGTAGAAATGATGCTGGAGATTGCATGATAGAATTTTGCAAGACCAACAACTTATTCATTGCAAATACCTTTTTTTCAACAACACAAATGGTATCTACACACATGGACTTCTCCAGATGGAGTACACAGGAATCATATTGACTACATCTGTGGCAAGAGGTGATGGAGAAGCTCAATATATTCAGCCAAAACAAGGCCAGGAGCTGATTGTGGGACAAACCATCAACTGCTTATATGCAAGTTCAATCTGAAGTTGAAGACAATTAAAACAAGTCCATGAGAGCCAAAATATGACCTGGAATATATACTTCCCAAATTTAGAGACCATCTAGAGAATAGATTTGATGCATTGAACAACAGTGACTGAAAACCAGAAGAATTGTGGGATGACATCAAGAACATCATCCACGAAGAAAGCAAATGATCATTAAAAAGACAGGAAAGGAAGAAAAAACCAAAACAGATGTCAGAAAAGACTCTGAAATTTGCCATTGAATGAAGACTGGCTAAAGCAAATGGAAGAAATGACAAGATAAAAGAGCTGAACAGAAGATTTAAAACAGCAGCTAGAGAAGACAAAGTCAATTATTATAATGAAATGTGCAAAGGCTTGGAATTGGAAAGCCAAAAGAGAAGAATATGCTCAACATTTCTCAAGCTGAAAGAACTGAAAAAAAATTTAAGCCTCAAGTTGCAATATTGCAAGATTCTCTGGGCGATATATTGAATGATTCAGGAAACATCAAAAGAAGATGGAAAGAATACACAGAGTCACTGTACCAAAAAGAATAAGTCAATGCTTATCCATTTCAGGAAGTGGCATATGATCAAGAACCAATGGTGTTGAAGGAAGAAGTCCAAGCTGCACTGAAGGAAGTGCTGAAAAACAAGGCTCAAGGAATTGACAAAATACCCATTGAGAGGTTTCAACAAACAGATTCCATGCTGGAGGCACTCAATCATCTATGACAAGAGATTTGGAAAACAGCTACATGGCCAACTCACTGGAAGAGACTCAAATTTGTACCCATTCCAAAAAAGGTGATCCCACAAAATGTGGGAATTATTGAACAATATCATTAATATCGGACACAAGTAAACTCTACTGAAGATAATTCAAAACCAGTTGCAGCAGTATATTGACAAAGAACTTTCAGAGATTCAGAAGAGGATGTGGAATGAGGGATATCATTGCTGATGTCAGATGGATCTTGGCTTGAAGCAAAGAATACCAGAAAGATGTTTACTTGTGTTTTATTGACTATGCAAAAGCATTCAATTGTATGGATCATAGAAAATTATGGATAACATTGAGAAGAGTGGGAATTCCAGAACACTTAAGTGTACTCATGAGTAACCTGTACATAGACCAGGAGGCAGTTGTAAAAACAGAAAAAGGGGACACTGCATGGTTTAAAATCAAAAAGGAAGTGCATCATGGTTGGATCCATTCACCATAATTATTCAATCTGTATGTAGAGCAAATAATCCAAGAAGCTGGACTATATGAAGAAGAACGGGCATCAGGATTGGAAGAAGACTCATTAACAACCTGAGATGTGCTGACAACACAACTTAGCTTGCTGAAAGTGAGGATGACTTGAAGCACTTACTGATGAAGATTGAAGACTACAATCTGTAGTATGGATTACACCTCAATATAAAGAAAACAAAAATCCTCACAACTGGACCAATAACCAGCATCGCAATAAATGGAGAGAAGATTGAAGTTGTTTAAGACTTCATATTACTTGGTTCTACAATCAACACCAATGGAAGCAGCAGTCAACGTATTGCATTGGGCAAATCTGCTGCAAAACACCTCTTTCAGGTGCTGGAGAGCAAAGATATCTCCTTGAAGACTAAGGTGCACCTGACACAAGCCATGTATTTTCAATCGCCTCTTATGCATGTGAAAGCTGGACAATGAACAAGGAAGACCGAAGAAGAGTTGATCCTTTTGAGTTGTGGTGTTGGAGAAGAATGCTGAAAGTAGCATGGACAGCAAAAAGAACTAACAAATCTGTCCTGGAAGAAGTGCAGCCAGAATGCTCTTTGGAAGCGAGAATGGCCAGACTTCATCTCACCTACTTCAGTCATGTTGTAAGAAGGGACCATTCCCTGGAGAAGGATATCATGCTTGGCAAAGTGAAGCATCAACGAAAAAGGGGAAGGCCCTCAACAAGATGGATTGACACAGTGGCTGCAACAATGGGTTCAAGTATAACAAGGATTGTGGAGCTGGCACAGGACTGGGCAGTGTTTGGTTCTGCTGTATGTAGGGTCACTATGAGTCGGAGATGACTCAATGGCGCCTAACCTCATGTTATACGAATTGTGCTTGATGCCCCCTGTGACCATGATCCCAAGCCCACAGGTCCAACTACTTGCTCCATCTGGGTAGCTGGCTGTGGGTAAACAGCCACCACTACCTTGCCTCTTGTCAGCTCTACAACTGGATATTCTTACAGCACATACAAATATGCATGTACAAACATTGTCTGCTAACCCTGTACATGGTCATGGGCACAGTATCCCCTGTCTAGACATACTTGATTGTTCACCCTGTCCACCTATCTATCCATAGATCAATGCTTGTCATTACTGACAACAAAATACTGTACAT